AGAAGTCGTGCTTTATAATTCCACCAAATATTTTAAGAAACACCTGTAATTCCAGCAGTTTGGGAGGCCAAGGTAGGAGGATCACTTGAGCCCAGGAGCTCAAGGACAGCCTGGGCAACATGGTGAAAAACAATCTCTATAAACAACAACAACAACAGCAACAACAACAAATTATCCAAGTGTGGTAGTGGGCAGGCACCTACAGTCCCAGCTACATGGGAGGCTGAGGTGGGCAGATTGCCTGAGCCCCAGAGGTGGAGGCTGCAGTGAGCCGAGATCATGTCATTGCATTTCAGTCTAGGTGACAGAGCAAGACCTTGTCCCCAAAAAATAAAAAAAAATGTTGGGGAATTAAATCATTTAATGTTTCATGTAAGGAAGGATAAATAGAAAATCCTGAATTGGCGTTAATGGTGGTTTGTATTTTTCACTGTATTTGCTCAAGTCAATGTTTTCCTTAGTCTATCTTAATCTAGAAAGAGCTATCCTTAGGAGAACTCTGAAAAATTTACTAATTATTTTAACATATCATCAAAGCAATACCAAGGAAAACAAATTCCTGGCTGCTTGTAAGCTACCTCTGGTAATGTCATTTAGCACAAGATCAAAGGTTAAGTGCCTCTTACCAGAGGAGAGAAGTAATTATTTCCATTATGTGTATTTTTTGGAGTGTTTTTATTGTTAATGCAAAATGAAATGGACTTTCCCCTCTACAAACCATTAATAGCTGTGTATATGCAGCCAAAGCTCACTGAGTCAATTATAAAGTTCTCACGGTCTCCAGAGTTCAAATGTAATTTTACCATTTTGATTAGTAGTTTATCCTTTTACCAGGCATCAGAAGGTCTTGTGAAAATGTACACCATGGCCTACCTTCACTCCCGGTTTACAGCAGGATGGGGAGGCATAAGCTCTTCAAGGTCACTCAATACCTCTTCCTATTTATTTACCTGGCAGTAGTTCAGGTCTTGGGAAGTTAACCCTGTTTCTACAAGCGAGGGCCAAATGGTCAGGTCTGGCTGCAATCTGCATATGGCAGCTGTTTGCTAACTACTCAGCACTTTAAAGATTCATAGTGCTCTCCTGTAATTGAGTTCACAGTACTCCTTGGGAGAGGGATATTATCTTAGATATTATCCTTTGGAAACAACCTCTGTTATTAACTTTTTTTCTTCTCCTTTAGGAAATCAAGAAGCTGTATCCCTGGAAATTCAACCAACTTCTCTAGTGTTCCAGAACTAGCAAATGAGGTGGGCCTGCCGGCAACACAGAGCTAGGACCTAGTTTAGTAATTCTGGACTTGGAGCTTCAGGCTCTGCGCATGCCTATGAAAGCCATGCAGCATGACCCTCATGAAGTTGGCACCCTGGATCACTGTGAAAGCTCTTTAACTCTTGGCTTAAGGTATTCTGGCTTTCTCAGTATAAAAGCCATTACATTTTTTTGCACTGCTAATGTCAAAGAACATGCATGGGGCAAATTATATTTTCTTTTACTTTTCGTTTTTGTTTTTTTGAGATGGTGTCTTTCTGTCACCCAGGCTGGAGTGCACTGGCTGCTCACTGCAACCTCTGCCTCCTGGGTTCAAGCAATTCCCTGCCTCACCCTCCTGAGTAGCAGGGACTACAGACACGTGTCAACATGCCTGGCTAATTTTTTATTTTTGTGTCTTTAGTAGAGACAGGATTTTACCATCTTGGCCAGGCTGGGCTTGAACTCCTGACCTTGTGATCCACTTGCCTCGGCCTCCCAAAGTGCTGGGATTACAGCCGTGAGCCACTGCACACAGTCTTCTTCTTCTTCTTCTTCTTCTTCTTCTTCTTCTTCTTTTTTTTTTGAGACACAGTCTATGTTGCTCAGGCTAGAGAGCAGTGCTGCCATCATAGCTACTGCAGCCTCGAACTCCTGGGCTCAAGCAATCCTCCTGTCCAGCCTCTTGAGTAGCTGAGACTACAGGTGTGCACTACCATGCTCTGCTTATTAGAAAAAAAATTTTTTTTTTTTTGGTATAGATTGGGGTCTCCCTGTGTTGCTCAGGCTGGTCTTGAACTCTTGGGCTCAAGTGATTCTTCCACCTCAGCCTCCCAGCCTCCCAAAGTACTGGCATCATAGGTATGAGCCATAGTATCTGGCTATAAACTGTATCTTCTAACGTTTAATTTTCTCTTTCCATGTACACGAATCTGCATGTTGAAGAAATGCAAAATATTTAATTATACTGTGCATGGGCAGAAACATGTTAGAAAACAGATTTTAATGTGAAGGCAATCATTGCACAGATGTATGCCAGTCAGATTAGTCATACAGCTTCCTGCTGAAGGTGATTAAAAAGAAAAGAAAAACTCACACCCCGGGAGTAACTGACTCAGTGCAATTTGTCATGTAATTATACTCAGAACCATAAATCCTCTATGATTTCACAGCTGAAGTAAGACTACCTCAATACATTTAAAATGGAAGTATTCTCTGCTGAAAATCTGCTTATTGAAAAGGACAAAAGGGAATCTATATTGGGCTAGGAAGCTGCTAGGGGCGCATTTAGTCTTAGCATCTCAATGTCATGATCAGTGTCTGGTGTTGCACTGTCTGTATCAGTGGCTGATGTAAGCTGATGATGGCATTTTTTTTTTTTTATTATACTTTAAGTTCTGGGATACATGTGCAGAACATGCAAGTTTGTTACCTAGGTATACACGTGGTATGGTGGTTTGCTGCACCCATCGACCTGTCATCTACATTAGGTATTTCTCCTAATGCTATCCCTCCATTAGCCTACACCTCTTGACAGGCCCTGGTGTGTGATATTCCCCTCCCTGTGTCCATGTGTTCTCACTGTTCAACTCCCACTTATGAGTGAGAACATGTGGTGTTTGGTTTTCTGTTCCTGTGTTAGTTTGCTGAGAATGATGGTTTCCAGCTTCATCCATGTCCTTGCAAAGGGCATGAGCTCATCCTTTTTTATGGCTGCATAGTATTCCATAGTGTATATGTGCCACAATTTCTTTATCCAGTCTATCATTGATGGGCATTTGGGTTGATTCCAGGTCTTTGCTGTGTGAGTAGTGCTGCAATAAATATAGGTGTGCATGTGTCTTTATAGTAGAATGATTTATAATCCTTTAGATTTATACCCAGGAATGGGATTGCTGGGTCAAATGGCATTTCTGGCTTTAGATTCTTGAGGAATCACCACACTGTATTCAACAATGGTTGAACTAATTTACACTCCCACCAACAGTGTAAAAGCATTCCTATTTTTCCACATTCTCTTCAGCATCTGTTGTTTCCTGACTTTTTAGTGATCGCCATTCTAACCGGCATGAGATGGTATCTCATTGTGGTTTTGATTTGCATTTCTCTAATGACCAGTAATGATGAGTTTCTTTCCATATGTTTTCTTTTAAGAAGTGTCTCTTCATAACCGTCACCCACTTTTTGATGGGGTTGTTTGATTTTTTTTCTTATACATTTGTTTAAGTTCCTTGTAGATTCTGGATATTAGCCCTTTGTAAGATGGATTGCAAAAATTTTCTTCCATTCTGTAGGTTGCCTGTTCACTCTGATGATAGTGCAGAAGCTCTTTAGTTTAGTTAGATGCCATTTGTCAATTTTGGTTTTTGTTGCCATTGCTTTTGGTGTTTTAGTCTTGAAGTCTTTGCCCATACCTATGTCCTGAATGGTATTGCCTAGGTTTTCTTCTAGGGTATTTATGGTTTTTAGGTCTTATATTTAAGTGTTTAATCCATTTTGAGTTAACTTTTATATGAGGTATAGGAAGGGGTCCAGTTTTAGTTTTCTGCATGTGGCTGGCCAGTTTTCCCAACACCATTAATTAAATAGGGGATCCTTTCCCCATTGCTTGTTTTTGTCAGGTTTGTCAATGATCAGATGGTTGTAGATGTGTGGCATTATTTTCGAGGCTTCTGTGGTGTTCCATTGGTCTATATCTCTGTTTTGGTACCACTACCATGCTGTTTTGGTTACTGTAGCCTTGTAGTGTAGTTTGAAATCAGGTAGCATGATGCCTCCAGCTTTGTTCTTTTTGCTTAGGATTGTCTTGGCTATGCGGGCTCTTTTTTGGTTCATATGAAATTTAAAATAGTTTTTTCTAATTGTGTAAAGAAAGCTAATGGTAGCTTGATGGGGATAGCATTGGATATGTAAACTACTTTGGGCAATATGGCCATTTTCACAATATTGATTCTTTCTATCCATGATCATGGAATGTTTTTCCATTGGTTTGTGTCCTCTCTTATTTCCTTGAGCAGTGGTTTGCAGTTCTCCTTGAAGAGGTCCTTCACATCCCTTGTAAGTTGTATTCATAGGTATTTTATTCTCTTTGTAGCAATTATGAATGGGAGTTCACTCATGATTTGGCTCTCTGTTTGTCTATTATTGGTGTATAGGAATGCTGTGATTTTTGCACATTGATTTTGTATCCTGAGTCTTTGTTGAAGTTGCTTATCAGATTAAAGAGATTTTGGGCTGACACCATGGGGTTTTCTAAATATACAATCATGTCATCTGCAAACAGGGACAATTTGACATCCTCTCTTCCTATTCGAATACATTTTATTTCTTTCTCTTGCCTGATTGCCTGGACCAGAGCTTCCCATATTATGTTGAATAGCATCAACATAATGGTGAGAGAAGGCATCCTTGTCTTGTGTGGGTTTTCAAAGGGAATGCTTCCAGCTTGTGCCCATTCAGTATGATATTGCCTGTGGGTTTGTCATAAATAGCTCTTATTATTTTGAGATAAGTTCTATCAATATCTACTTTATTGAGAGTTTTTAGTATGAAGTGGTGCTGAATTTTATCAAAGGCCTTTTCTGCATCTATTGAGATAATCGTTGTTTTTTTTTTTTTAACTTTTCCGAGGGATTTATTGGTTCCTGTGAAACCTATGAAAGCCACAAACACTCAGAGCCAGAGAATGACAACCTATAATTGTCTTTTTAGTCTTGTAGTATCCACAGTACTGAGGTCTGTCCACAAACTCCATGTCTGCTCTGTGTGTCAAGGGGACAGGAACAGGAGAAGACAAATTGACTGGTGGTACTTTCAAGCAATGCGGTAGGCCTTCCCTTTGGGATCTGCCATGATAACGATACCCCAGGTGGCAATACTGATGCCGATGCTGAGTAATACTCCCTGGACTCGGGGGATATCCCATCTTCATGCGCCTCCGTGCCACCAAGTACATGTATCCTCCCGCCCCCAGCAACCCCAACCCAGAAAGCAGGCGACAGCTCCAGCAGTTATTAAACAGGCGGGATTCTGCTGGGGAGTTCGGTGCTCCGGGTGTAGCTGGGGGTGCAGGCTTGGCTGGCGCAGGCTTGGCGGGCACGGCAGCTGTATCAGGAGGCTCATCGATCTTGAAGGACTGAAGAGGTTGGGATGTCTCAGACCCCGTGTCGTGGATCTCGGCCTCCAATCGTGTGGTTTTTGCCATTGGTTCTGTTTATGTGATGGATTACGTTTATTGATTTGTGTATGTTGAACTAGCCTTGCATCCCAAGGATGAAGCCAACTTGATTGTGGTGGATAAGCTTTTTGATGTGCTGCTGGATTTGGTTTGACAGTAGTTTATTGAGGATTTTCACATCAATATTCATCAGGAATATTGGCCTGAAATCTTCTTTTTTTGTTGTGTCTCTGCCAGATTTTGGTATTAGGATGATGGTGATGAGTTAGGGAGGAGTCCCTCTTTTTCTATTGCTTGGAATAGTTTGAGAAGAAATGTACCAGCTTCTCTTTGTACCTCTGGTAGAACTCGGCTGTGACTTTGTCTGGTCCTGGGCTTTTTTTGGTTGGTAGGCTATTAAGTACTGCCTCAATTTCAGAACTTGTTATTGGTCTATTGAGGGATTCAACTTCTTCCTGGTTTAGTCTTGGGAGGGTGTATGTGTCCAGGAATTTATCAATTTCTTCTAGATTTTTCTGATTTATTTGCATAGAGGTATTTATAGTATTCTCTAATGGTAGTTTGTATTTCTGTGGGATTAGTGGTGATATCACCTTTATCACTTTTTATTGTGTCAATTTGATTCTTCTCTCTTTTCTTCTTTATTAGCCTGGCTAGTGGTCTATCTATTTTGTTAATCTTTTCAAAAAACCAGCTGCTGGATTCACTGATTTTTTGAAGGGTTTTTCATGTCTCTTTCCTTCAGTTCTGCTTTGATCTTAGTTATTTCCTGTCTTCTGCTAGCTTTTGAATTTGTTTGCTCTTGCTTCTCTAGTTCTTTTAATTGTGATGTGAGGGTGTCAATTTTAGATCTTTCCCACTTTCTCCTGTGGGCATATAAATTTCCCTCTAAACAACACTGCTTTATCTGTATCCTAGAGATTGTGGTACATTGTGTCTTTGTTCTCATTGGTTTCAAAGAACTTATTTATTTCAGCCTTATTTTCGTTATTTACCCAGTAGTCATTCAGGAGCTGATTGTTCAGTTTCCATGTAGTTGTGTGGTTTTGAGTGAGTTTCTTAATCCTGAGTTCTAATGAGAGGCTGTTGGTTATGATTTCCATTTGTTTGCAATTGCTGAGGAGTGTTTACTTCCAATTATGTGGTCGGTTTTAGAATAAGTGCAATGTGGTGCTGAGAAGAATGTTTATTCTGTTGATTTGGAGTGGAGAGTTCTGTAGATGTCTATTAGGTCTGTTTGATCCAGAGCTGAGTTCAAGTCCTGAATATACTTGTTAATTTTCTGTCTTGTTGATCTGTCTAATATTGACAGAGGGGTGTTAAAGTTGTGTGGGAGTCTAAGTCTCTTTGTAGGTCTCTAAGAACTTGCTTTATGAATCTGGGTGCTCCTGTATTGGGTACATATATATTTAGGATAGTTAGCTCTTCTTGTTGCATTGATCCCTTTACCATTATGTAGTGCCCTTCTCTGACTTTTTTGAACTTTGTTAGTTTAAAGTCTGTTTTTATCAGAGACTAGGATTGCAACCCCTGCTGTTTTTTTTTCTTCTTTTTTTGCTTTCCATTTGCTTGGTAAATATTCCTCCTTCCCTTTATTTTAAGCCCATGTGTGTCTTTGCATGTGAGATGTGTCTCCTGAATACAGCACATTGATGGGTCTTGACTCTTTTTCCACTTTGCCAGTCTATGTCTTTTAATTGGGTCATTTAGCCCATTTACATTTAAGGTTAATATTGTTATGTGTGAATTTGATCCTGCCATTATGATGCTAGCTGGTTATTTTGCCCATTAGTCGATGCAGTTTCTTCATAGTGTTGATGGTCTTTACCGTTTGGTATGTTTTTGCAGTGGTTGGTACTGGTTTTTCCTTTCCATATTTAGTGCTTCCTTCAGGATCTCTTGTAAGTAAGGCCTGGTGGTGACAAAATCTCTCAGCATTTGCTTGTCTGTGAAGGATTTTATTTCTCCTTCACTTAAAAAGCTTAGTTTGGCTGAATATGAAATTCTGGGTTGAAAATTCTTTCCTTTAAGAATGTTGAATATTGGTCCCCACTCTCTTCTAGCTTATAGGGTTTCTGCAGAGACATCTGCTTTTATTCTGACGGGCTTCCCTTTGTGGGTAAACTGATCTTTCTCTTTGGCTGTCTTAACTTTTTTCCTGCATTTCAACCTTGGTGAATCTGACGATTATGTGTCTTGGGGTTGCTCTTCTTGAGGAGCACCTTGGTGATGTTCTCTGTATTTCCTGAATTTGAATGTTGGCCTGTCTTAGGTTGGGGAAGTTCTCCTGGATAATATCTTGAAGAGTGATTTCCAACTTGGTTCCATTCTCCCCATCACTTTCAGGTACACCAATCAAATATAGGTTTGGTCTTTTCACATAGTCTCATTTTTCCTGGAGGGTTTGCTCATTCCTTTTCATTCTTTTATCTCTACTCTTGTCTTCATGCTTTTTTTTTTCATTAAGTTGATCTTCAATCTCTGATATCCTTTCTTCTGCTTGATCAATTTGGCTATTGATGCTTGTGTATGCTCCACGAAGTTCTTGTACTGTGTTTTTCAGCTCCATCAGGTCATTTATGTTCATCTGTAAACGGGTTATTCCAGTTACTAATTTCTCTAACCTTTTTTCAAGGTTCTTAGCTTCCTTGCATTGGGTTAGAACATGCTCCTTTAGCTCAGAAAAGTTTGTTATTACCCACCTTCTGAAATCTACTTCCATCAATTTGTCAAACTCATTCTCTATCCATTTTTTTTTCCCTTGCTGGTGAGGAGTTGTGATTTTTTTGGAGGAGAAGAGGCATTCTGTTCCTTGGAATTTTTAGCCTTTTGGTGCTGGTTTTTCCTCATCTTCATGGATTTATCTACCTTTTATCTTTGATGTTGGTGATCTTCAGATGAGGTTTTTGTGTGGACGTCCTTTTTGTTGATGTTGATGCTATTCGTTTCTGTTTGTTAGTTTTCCTTCTAACAGTCAGGCTCCTCTGCTGCAGGTCTGCTGGAGTTTGCTGGAGGTCCACTCCAGACCCTGTTTGCCTGGGAATCACCAGTGGAGGCTGCAGAACAACAAAAATTGCTGCCTGTTCCTTCCTCTGGAAGCTTCGTCCTAGAGGGGCACTCACCAGATTCCAGCCAGTGCTCTCCTGTATGAAGTTGTTTGTTGACCCCTGCTGGGAGATGTCTCCAATTCAGGAGGCACAGGGGTCAGGGACCCACTTGAAGAGGCAGTTTGTCCCTTAGCAGAGCTCAAGCACTGTGCTGGGGGATCTGCTTTTCTCTTCAGAGCTGGCAGGCAGGAACATTTAAGTCTGCTGAAGCTGCCTCCACAGCCACCCCTTCCCCCAGGTGCTCTGACCCAGGGAGGTAGGAGTTTGGTCTATAAGCTCCTGACTGAAGCTGCTGCCTTTTTTTTTCAGAGATGTCCTGCCCAGAGAGGAAGAATTTAGGGAAGCAGTCTAGCTACAGTGGCTTTGCAGAGCTGTGGTGGGCTCCACTTAGTTTGAACTTCCGTGACTTTGCTTACACTGTGACAGGTACTGCTCAAGCCTCAGTAATGGTGGGCGCCCCTCACCCCACCACGCTTGAGCATCTCAGGTTGACTTCAGGCTGTTGTGCTGGCAGCAAGAATTTCAAGCCAGTCGATCTTAGCTTGCCAGGCTCCATGGGGGTGGGATCCACTGAGCTAGACCACTTGGCTCCCTGGTTTCAGCCCCCTTTCTGGAGGAGTGAACAGTTCTTTCTCACTGGTGTTCCAGGCACCACTAAGGTATGAACAAAAAATCCTGCAGTAGCTTGGTGTCTGCCCAAACGACTGCCCAGTTTTGTGCTTGAAACCCAGGGCCCTGGTGGTGCAGGCACCTGAGGGAATCTCCTGGTCTGCGGGTTGCAAAGATGGTGAGGTAAGTGTAGTGTCTGGGCCAGAGTGCAACACTCCTCATGGAACAGTCCTTCATGGCTTCCCTTGGTTGGGGGAGGGAGTTCCGTGACGCGATGTGCTTCCCAGGTGAGGTGATGCTCCACGCTGCTTTGGCTCACCCTCCATGGGCTGCACCCACTGCCTAACTAGTCCCAATGTGATGAGCTGGGTATCTCAGAAATGCGGAAATCATCTGCCTTCTGCATTGATCTCACTGGGAGCTGCAGACCAGAGCTGTTCCTATTCAGCCATCTTGCCAGCCACTCAGCATTTGACTTTTTAAAGAGATGGAGTCTCACTTTGTTGCCCAGGTTGGAATGCAGTGGTGGGATCATAGCTTAATGCAGCCTTGACCTCCTGGGCTTAAGTGATCCTCCTGCCTCAGCCTCCTTAGTAGCTAAGACTACAGGAGTGCACACTGCCATGCCAGGGTAAGTTTTAAATTTTTTGTCAAGATGAGGTTGTGCTATGTTGCCCCAGCTGGTCTTGAATTTCTGACCTCAAATGATCTTTCAGCCTCAGCCTCCCAAAGTGCTGGAATTATAGGCATGACCCACAGCCCCTGGCCTGATGAAAGCTTTTTAAGTGTACTAACGATCTCATCAGAGGAGCCAAATGCCACATGACTCAAGAAGAAACAACCAAACGGTTCTGATCCAGGGTGAAAGCATTCAGCTGTTCTTCACTCTGTGGTGTCTGTGTGGGGTGTTTCCATTAAGGGTGAGAAGGGAAAGGAATGGCCCTGTGTTGGGGCCTCCAGAAGCAACATGTCCCTCCCCACAAATCACTGAGGTTTCTGAAGAATGTTAAAATAATAATATGTGATTAGGAGAATGAGAGTGCTATGACATCAAAGAAAAAAGCTGGACAAGGCGGAAGGATTCAACATGTGCTTATGTGAGAAATTTGCTGCCAGCTAGTTGAGTTGGGGAATCTGAGAGACTGGAAGTTGTCGGAGAATCTGTGGTTTCAGCTAAAGAAGCAGAGGAAATAGCCAAGGAAACCATTTGAGCCTAATGTAGAGGAGAGGCTGGTGCAGAGAAACTGCGTTGGTATATTTTGGGTTCAGAGCAAAGAGGGACCTGTTTCTTTAGGATGAACTGAGATCATT